TGGTTTAATTTCAGATGCCACTATGCTCTGAGAATTTTTGTATTTTTCCTCTCCAGCCCACAAGTTATCAGCTCATAAACTCCGGATCTGAGAGAAGACCACCCCTAGACATCTCTGTTCCAGTGTGCCACACAGACCCTTGCATGCCTTAAATCAGCGTGTCAGACTACAGAGAGAGCTCGGGGGCTTAGGACGCGTGCGACTTTTGCAGAGGATTTGAGTTCATTTCCTAGCACCAGTGACAGGTGACAAACAACTCTCTCTAACTCCAGCCCTAGGGGATCCAATACCCTTTTGTGGCCACTGCCCCCTCCCATACAGTTTTAAAAAATGACCAACCTTTTTAAAAAAACAAAAAAACAAAAAACAAAACCAAAAACAATTAAAGCCAACTTGACAATAGCTTTCTGTCCTCCATAACCCATGACTTTTCTGTGGTCCCTTCTTCAGGCAATGATGTCTCACTCGTTAGATCTAGTGAGTACATTTCCTCACCCGTATCCAGTAAGCAAGTTCCATCTCTGTCCCAGTCTCTCCGGTCTACCTCTACTTCCTTTCTTTAGGCTTCGTTTTTGCCACCTTCGCCTCAACACTGGTGGTAGGCCCCACTCCTCAGTCCATTCTCCACACTGGGCTACAGTGAGGAACCTACAGGGCCATCCTCGCTCACACTTACCCTCGAGGGCTGGCCCTGGGACCAACATTCTGTCACATCCATTCAATGACATACACGTCCTCATCCTGCCTCTCAAGTGTGTGATTCACATTTTTAAAGCATACACTGAATGGCTGGTATTCCCCACCCATCGCCTCTCAGAGTTAACTCGGGAAGCCTTTTCTGACGCTGTTCTAAGCACTGAAACCATCCGTGCCTCAGTTATCTCAGCATCTTCCAGAACATAGCAATGGCTACATTACTTGTTTCTCCCACTGTCCCAGAAGTTCCTTTAACACAGGAACAGTTTTTATGATGGTTCTCCAGCGTTCACTAATGCCTGGAACATGGTACAGCCGTAAGTGGATGAGGAGGGTTGAGACCTGCTGACTGTACGAAGCAAAGCGTCTGTATCTAAACTGGGGGATCCCTATCTTCATTATTCTCACTGAAGGGAAACCAACACCATTAGCAACAAGAGTGAGGATCTGAGGTACCACTTCCTACAGTAGTCTCCTCTCTTACTCATGCCCAAGACGACTACATCTGTGAAGGACCAAGTAACAACCCAGTCTAAGAGAAGGCTGTGGAAGTACTCATACTTCCATTCATGCATTGGCCCACATTCTGTCTGCAGTCCCATGAGGTCTTCAGAAACAATCTACTACTCATATGAAGTGCCTATTAAAGAATAATACTAAGCAAGAAAGATAACTGTGGCACTGGGCATAGCAGCTCATGTCGGTGATCACAGCACTTCGGGGGCTAAGACAGGGAGCTTGCTGAGAGTTCCAGGTCACCTTGAGTGTATATGTGAGGGGACATTATGAAATGGCACCGTTTTATAGAAGTTTAGGTCTGAGTGGGGTGTGGGCAGGATTCAGTACTATAAAAGGGCTTTGCAATAAGATATAAGTGCTTTACTTCTAACACAAGGTGCTTTGAGGAGAGGCAGGCAAATAATTCAGCCTGGAGTTAACAAGGAAGGCTTCGGCAACATGGCAAAGGAACACTGAAACAAGAGACGGAAGAGGGCCCTTCAGAAAAAAAGAAATTACGTTTCTTCCAAGACAGTCTAGCCTCTCTTTGTACCAAGTCTTATGTGATATTCATCCGTGTGTGGCTTGGAACAGACCACACCAGACCAAATGGTTCCAAGTGGGGTTAATTCAGGAGATAGGGCAAAGGTTGGGGGTGGGGGGGAGAAAAGGAAGAAGAGAGAGAGGTCAGGAGGTTCTACCTATTTATATGGGCGGTGACGAAGTAGCCCCTTGCAGGTAAGGGTGGGAGGTACCAGGTGGATTCTGGGAATGTATGGCGGTTGCCTTGGCAACAATGGGAGGGTCACCTAGCTGTGATATCACTAGGTTCGGAGCCTGATACCAACATTATGTCATTCCATAGCCTGTAAATCCCAAAGCAGTCAGTCCCCACCTGAAACTCCCTATGTAGCCCAGGCTGGTCTCCTTTATGGCAATCTCATCTTAGCCTCCCAAATGCTGGGATTAAACTTTAAACCTTCAAGTAAAGCAGGGTGTGGTGGCACACCCTTGTAATCCCAGTATTTGGCAGGTACAGGCAGAAGAGTCAAGAGTTCAAGACCAGTCTACTGGCCAGCCTAGCACACACAGATGCTCCGTAACATCTGTTGAATGAATCAGTGAACGACTGCTTACTGAATGGGGGAGTGGCATGGAGTTGGATGCACTCACTACATAATGGCTCTGGGGAAGGCAAGAACTTACTGGAAGGCTGGAAGGGTTGAGGAAGTAGCTGAAGACCCCGAGCAGGCCTTTTATCTCCTGATAACAAGAGGCAAAGGTCATTTATTTAGGGCGTGTTGTGATCAAATCTTAATTTTAAGCATGGCATCTGGGCTCTGGAAAACAAGCTGTGATGTGGGTGGATGTCCTGGGATTACAGATAGAAATAGCTTCATCCAAGCTAGAGGTAGAAGCACCAAGCCAAGTGTCTGCCTAGTGCCCATTATCCCAGTACTTGGGAAGCTGTGGCAGGAGGGTTATCTAAGCAGCCAGGGCTACATAGGAAGTGTCAGACAGCCAGGGCTACATAATGAGACCCTGTCTCCTAAGACAAAATAGAAGGGCAGAGGGAAGACAGGCAAACAGAGCAACCTAGTAAAACAAACAATACATAGGTGTTTCTGAGGCAAAGCTGTCTAGCGCTAGGGACTAACTGGATCCCACTTAAGTTTTTGGGGGAGGTAACTGTAGCTGGACCGTCAATGAGGACCCCTTAAGGCCGCACAGAGAGAGGAGTTTTAGATTTGGCAATATTGGCTCTGAGGTGCCTGGGGAAGGCTTTCTCTGAATCTCCAGGCCTTAAGTAAGCCATCACCACCCAGCTTCTCCTCTCTCTCTTCTCTTTCCTGTTGTGAGCACTCCAAGTCCTGAATGCTCCCTACAACTTACTTAATGTGGGGGGCACCACGCCAGCAGGCCCCACATTCTCGAAGACACAGGATTCAGGCTCGGTGGGTCTGGCTGTGACCTCTCCAGGAGGCGGCTCCCTCACAGGAAGGCAGGCAGGCCTGCCGCTGGGCACACACAAGAGCTTCCTGCGCTGCAGCAGGTGCCCAGGCCAGCTGCTCCAACCCTTCAGACTCAGATCAACAGGATGGGCCAGCCCAAGCGGAAGGAAGCCTGCAGGGAGGGACACTCCTGCAGACAGAAGCAGGGGCACCGGGTGGAGGGAGGCAGGAAGAGCTGCCTGGGTTGCTGAGTTGGCGCTCCTCCAGCGGATTCAGAGCTGGCAGTGACAGGAGGCCATTCAGTCATCTTCCCCCCACTCCCACCCCCACCCAGGGCCTCTCTGGCCCGTGGTATTATCATTACGTTTGTTGCTGGCTGGCTTTAGGTATACCAGAAGGGACCATCAGATAGATACTGGTAGAGCTGACGGCCTCCTTTACCTCCTCTTCTGTGGTGACAAGCAAAGGGCACTTGCTTTATCCCTTTTTGCTCGGCAGGCTGAAAAAGCCCACAGGAGGGCAGTGACTTTTGTCTCATGATCCGCCTGAGCAGGGGAGAAGATAAAATCTCTAGTTTGCTTTAAGCCCCCGTTATCACTGCCTCCGGCTCCAACAGCTGCTGTGAACCCGCACACATGGGCAAGGGGGCGGGGCGACAGGGCGCCAACGAGGAGCCCAGAGCTCTCGGACTGAGGCTACACCCCAGCCCCGGCTGCTGCACACAGAAGGCTGGCTTCCCGAAGAAGCTCCGCTTGCCCCCAATGCCTGGAGTGGTGGAGGGGGCAGGGACAGGAACTCGGTGTTTGACCGGGTCAGGAATCCCACCGACAAGCATGCTTTCGTCACCCCATCCCCACTAGCTGTTTCTTGGCAGGGCGTCGGCGAAGACTGTGGTCCCGCGGGTCGGGGGAGGTGGGGTCTACGTTGGAGACAGCTAGAACCTTGTATTTTAAACTCTTAACTACGCCAAACTAAAACTCGATTCTGCCACCGGGCACTCGGGTCTAGGGCTCTCGGCCACGCCACTAAGCCCTACGGTACCGGCTTCCCTAAGTCCCCACACCAACCGCCCAGAAGGACGGGAGGGACGCGCAGAGGCGGGCCCTGCTGCCAGCGCCTGTGCCGCAGATGGGAGGACGAGCCAGCGCCTGCCGCCTGGGCGTGGGCGGTGAGTGCGAGCAGGTGTCTGTTCCGTGACAGGGCTCCCGCCGCCGCCACCTCGCCCTGGTTCTCCCCGGTCCTCACGGCTTAAGAGTGACAAAACCCGGCAAATGCTCAGAAATGCCGCTCAGTGGGTCACCCGGCTCTCGCCTCCACGCAAAACCCACGAGAACCGCGCTTCCTAGGAACGTCTGGGGGCTCGGAGCCGCGCTCGCAGCCCCCGCCTCCCGCTCCCGCTCGGGGTCCCGCCCACTCCCTGGCGGGCCCAGACGCTACGGGCGCGAAGGGGGACGGGGCGGAGCGGGCTTCCCTCCCCACCCCCCACGTGGGGCCGGCTCTCCGCAAAGCCCGGTGGCCGCCGCCGCGTCTCTCTGCTGTGCCCGGCCGGCGGCGCCGCCCCCGGGCATGGGCGGGGGACTGAAGACTAGGGCTGGGCGAGGGGCGTCACGGAGTCAGGTGGTCCCCGGAGTTCCCCGGGGCTGGACCGAGGGAACGCGGTGCCTCGGGTTGTGTACACGCTCCACTGACAGAGCTTCTTGCAGCCGGGCAGCCGCTGATCACGCGTGGCCCCTCCAGCCCATTGGCTGAGGCCTCACACACCTTTGCCGCTGATTGGCCGACACCAGGCCCCGCCCTCTACCCCGCCCGCGGCGCGGGGCAGGCAGAGCGGCTACCTGCATGGGGAGGGGGACAGACAGCGCGGAGCGCGGTGGCGTCGACGTCTAGTGTCTCAGTGCTCCCGTCTGTGGCTAGGCAGCCAGCAGCCAGGCAGCTCGCGACCTGCGGCCAGGCAGCCAACCATGCTTAACTTCGGCGCTTCTCTCCAGCAAGCCTCGGTAAGTTACCTGGGGATGCTGGTCCTTAGCTCCCGCTCGGTGTCGGGGGAGCCAGCCGGAGCGCGAAGCAGGAGCCCCTAAATAAGCCACGCCTGAGAATCCAGGCTGCAGCGGGGTCTTGCAAGCGTTTTCCTCCCTGCAGGCTGGGAATATCATCGAGGGCATGTGCAAAAGAGGGGTCGGAAGGAGAAGTCTGGGACCTGGACCAGGGGAGAGCGATCCTGGTCCCCGGGTGTCCAGGAGACAAGGGGGACTCTCAGGGAGACCCCAGGAGGAGACTGAGCTGGAGGGGCTGTCTCCCTGGAAGCGTGGTTGACATGGAGGGGGCGCCCTGCACCTGGCTGTGGCGGGAGATGCCCGTCTGCACCAGGAATGCGACCCGGGGTGACAAGGACTACTCCCGGGCTGTCTACCCGAGAGGCGGGCGGCTGCTCGTCGGGGGAGGGGGGATCCTGCCAGGTGGAGACCGCGCCGCTGGGCTAGCCCGGGACTGGGGGAGGGGATGGCCGGCTTCGCGCGGGGTATGGATGGCACGCGGGCTCTCCGGCCGCCGGGGGGGCCGCGGCAAACCCCGCAGACGTCGGGAGGGGACTCCCATCCCAGGCGGAGGCAGGTGGCTGCCTAGAGACTACTCTTGGCAGGGGGGCAGGGTCCTGCCTGGGAGCCCGACAGCTGGGCGGGGGAGTCGGGACCGCGAGACGCGGGGGCCGCGTGTCGAGGCGGGAACCGTGGGGCCCCGCGCCCGGAGCCCGTGCAGTGGGCGCCGCACGTCTGGGAGCCTGCAGAGACGCGGCTTGCGGGGGCCCGGGCTGCCGGAAGCAGCAGCCGGGGATGCCGCGCCTGCGGGAGACGCGGGTGGGCTGAGGTCCCGCGGGCCGAGTGGGCGGAGCGCCCCAGGCTCGGACTGCTCCCCCGGGGGCGGCGAGCAGGAGGGCGGCGGTCGGGCTTCCGCGGGGACCCAGCTCCACCTCCCGCAGCCGAGGCGGAGGCCAGGGATGGGCGGCGAGCGGGTGCGCCCCGGGAGCTCCTCGTCCCCGAGTGACCCAGCCCCGGCCTCCTCCAGGGGCGGGAACGAGGCCCGGCCCTGCTGTCGGTTCCTAAGGGAACCGCGGCTCGCTCGGGGGAGGTGGAAGGGGCGGGCGCCTCCGGAGCCGACACCGCCCAGCCCTCGCGCCGCCCGGCGCGCACTGGCGAGCGGTTGGCGGCGGCGCCCGCGGCCCCTCCCCGGCCGGCGGGGGCGGGGGCCCGTGCTCAGGAAGTAGGGGAAAGGTGACGGCGCGGCAATTCCCAGTTCACGTTTCCTGCGCCGCCCGGAGCAGCCGCTGATCACGCTTTGTTCACATGCCTCGCCCCCTCCTCTTCGCGCCCCCACCCTGCGCCGCCCAGCCAATCCGGGCACGGGCCGCAGGCCGGCTGGCCAATGGCAGGGGCGGGGCGCGGGGGACGTGCGCGCGGTGGGCAGTGTTCCCGGTGACTCACCCGCCAGCCTCATTGAGGTTAGGGCGGCCCCATCCGTCGGTCCCCGCCAGCGAGGATCTCCCCCGCCGGCCTCCCGCGCCCCGCCCCCGCCTCCACCCGGCTTCCCTTTCCTGCCTCGCACCAGCTCTTCGCTCCCCTCCCAGCTTCCCCTCCCGGCGCACATTCTTCACCCCTGCCTGACTGTTTTCCACCCCTTTCTTTGAATTGGTGACTATAGGCTTTTTACACTTCCAGGCTTCATCCCTTGCCGCTTACATAAAGGCGCGAACGGTTATGCAATTACATTGTTCGTGATAGTTGATGAACGGTGTCTTGTTTTCCCACATTCAACAGGAAGAGAGACATCAAAAAAAATATCTTTGCTGTTTTATTTATTAGGTTTTCGCTTTGTCTTTTTGAGTGTGTCTGGCCCTGAACTTGCAATATAGCCAAAGTTGGCCTTGAGCCTTATGTTCCTGGCTCCCCCTTCCAATTTATGCTTTTCATAATTTTTGCAACCTCTACTTTGACCAGAAGAATTTGGAAGTTCTTTTTAAGAGGAAAGTAGAGATGATAGGTGATTCTTCTGAAATGCAGGTCACAGAACTTTTAATATGAGACATTAGGTTGAAGGTATTGTACACAGCATGGTCAACCAGTCATCAAGCCATGTTTTAATTAAATTAAAGCCAACTTGTACTCAGGGTTTTTTTTTCCCCCTTGCAAATTCCAAGAACATTACATTTTATGCCTGCCTGGTCCCTTACAGTACAGAAAAGCATTGTGTTGAACAAATCTGGGAAAATCATAGATATGAAGAGAGTGAGACGTGACCGAAATAAAATATTTTCCTTCTTTGATTGCTTTGTGTGTGTTTGCATTTTGAGATGCAGCTTCCAATTGCTTGGCCTCCACATTCCTGAGATACATGCATCCCACCATGCCTGGCTGTATTTGTGTGTGTCCACTTATTTTACCTAATTGTCACCATATGTGATGAAGTTACCAGTTTCAGACTTTATTTTTTTTCTCTCTCTCTTTTTTTTTTCTTCTTTTGAGACAGGGTTTCTCTGTATAGCCCTGGCTGTCCTGGAACTCACTCTGTAGACCAGGCTGGCCTCGAACTCAGAAATCTGCCTGCCTCTGCCTCCCAAATGCTGGGATTAAAAGCGTGCACCACTACTGCCCGGCTAATTTCAAACTTTAGATAACTAGGTTCCACTTTAATCTGGAGGTAGTTAAGTCAAATTATATTTTAAGACATGGGTCTTAATTTCCTTACTGGCAATAAGGTAGCCTTAAACTTTACATTAGAACAACCACTATTGGATATCCTTGTCGGGTTTGGATAGTTAGATAGTTGATGAGCTTTAACTTTTGTTTTTGTAGGAGGGGAAAATGGAGGTAATTTCTGAGAAGTCCAGAGAGGGAGCACACCCCTGGAAGAAAGCCGAGCAGAGTGATTTTGAGGCCGTGGAGGCGCTCATGTCCATGAGCTGTGACTGGAAATCTCATTTCAAGAAATACCTTGAAAACAGGCCTGTCACACCAGTGTCTGATATGTCAGAGGAAGATAACTTGCTTCCAGGGACTCCTGACCTTCAGACAGTCCCAGCATTTGTGAGTATTTTCAGTGAGTAAAAGTGACAGCATTGTTCAGTGTTTGCATAACGGACCTCTAATTTCTCTTCTTGCTTGTGTTTGTAGTGTTTGACTCCACCTTACAGCCCCTCTGACTTCGAACCCTCTCAAGGGTCAAATCTGACGGCACCAGCGCCATCTACTGGTCACTTCAAATCATTCTCCGAGGCCGCCAAGGCTCCCGTAGGGGCTCCCTTCAAAGAGGAGGAAAAGAGTCTTTTAGCTGCCCCTCCACTCCCTAAGGCTCAAGCCACCAGTGTCATCCGGCACACAGCTGATGCTCAACTGTGTGACCACCAGTCCTGCCCTGTGAAAGCAGCTAGCATCTTCAACTACCAGGACAATTCTTTCCGGAGAAGAACCCACGTGAATGTGGAGACGACTCGGAAGAACATACCCTGTGCTGCTGTGTCACCAAACAGATCCAAGCCTGAGCCCAGCACAGTGTCCAGTGGTGATGAGAAGGCTGCGATGTTTGACTTTGCTGTGCCTTCTTCAGAGACAGTCATTTGTAGGTCTCAGCCAGCTCCCGCGTCCCCACTGCAGAAGTCGGTACTGGTGTCTTCACCTACATTGTCCACTGGGGCAGTGTCACCCCTGCCTGTCATCTGCCAGATGGTTCCCCTTCCTGCAAACAACTCTCTTGTTACCACAGTTGTCCCCAGCACTCCCCCCAGCCAGCCACCAGCGGTCTGCTCCCCTGTGCTGTTCATGGGCACTCAGGTGCCCAAGGGCACTGTCATGTTCGTGGTACCCCAGCCCGTTGTGCAGAGCCCAAAGCCTCCGGTCGTGAGCCCCAATGGCACCAGACTGTCTCCCATTGCTCCTGCGCCTGGGTTCTCTCCCTCGGCAGCAAGGGTTACTCCTCAGATGGATTCATCCAGAGTAAGAAGTCACATCTGTAGCCACCCAGGATGTGGCAAGACTTACTTTAAAAGCTCCCATCTGAAGGCACACGTGAGAACACACACAGGTACTGATCATGTGAGCTTTGTCTCTGAAATGGGTGTGTATGTGGATGTTGACTGGCCACAAACACAAGGGGAGGTGTTGAGGTGGATGATTCAGTATCTTTAAAGTTATTCCATTTGTCCCTGGGCCTGGTGACACACCCTTGTGACCCTAGCTCTTGGGAAGTTGAGGCCAAGGAAGCAACACATTTAGTAATACACATAATATGTATGTATTGATTACATTAGTATATTCAGTTACCTTGTTTTTTTTTGGTCTTTTTGTTATTTTGTCTTTTTTTTTTTTTTTTTTTTCAGAGCTGAGGACCGAACCCAGGGCCTTGCGCTTGCTAGGCAAGCGCTCTACCACTGAGCTAAATCCCCAACCCCACATTAGTATATTCAGACGGGGTTTCTCTGTGCACACCTAGCTGTCCTTGAATTTACTCTGTAGACCAGGCTGGTCTTGAACTCAGATGTCTTCCTGCCTCTGCCTCCCAAGAGCTGGGATTAAAGGTGTGTACCATTATGCCAAGCATATCTAGTAATACTTGGATAATTTATGAACTGACCAGCTTTCAATTTTAAATTTTATCTCTATATTTAGTGCTAATGTGGTCATGTATATAGTTTAAAGACTAACTGTATAGTAACCATCTGGCTTTCTCTGCTTCAGGGGAAAAACCTTTCAGCTGCAGTTGGAAAGGCTGTGAAAGGAGGTTTGCTCGTTCCGATGAACTGTCCAGACACCGGCGAACACACACAGGGGAGAAAAAATTTGCCTGTCCCATGTGTGACCGTCGGTTCATGAGGAGCGACCATTTAACCAAGCATGCCCGGCGCCACCTATCGGCCAAGAAGCTGCCAAACTGGCAAATGGAAGTGAGCAAGTTAAACGACATTGCTCTGCCTCCAACCCCTGCCTCGGCACAGTGACAGCCAGGAGATGGAGACTCAAATAAACTGGTCAGAGTCAGGAGCCAGTGACGGTGTCAAATGCTTCTGCAAGTCTGTGGCCCCTCAACAGGGCCTAAAGCAGAAGCCCCTGGCCTGGGAGAGGCCCAGCCTGCGTCAGATGACAAGAAGTGCTGCAGCCACGGGCAGGTCACAGAAGGGCAGGGTTCATTTCTTACCACATAGAGAGATGAGAACGCTTTTATTCCTTTGAGCAGTTTGGGAGGTTTTGGATGAGGTGAGCACAGCACAGGTTTTGAATCACATACACATTGGGTACTTTGTTTTTGCCGTTTATACTTGAGACCCGCTTTGTAGTGTGATTCTTTCAAAGCATTGGTTTCAAGAATATAGAGGCTGGAAATTACGGTACAGAAATGGAGCCAGAAAATGAGTTTGTGTTACACAAAGATGTCATCTTCTCCTAGAGTTATCTTGTGTCTTATTCCTAGTCTTTCCAGTCACCTCCGTGAATGTAGCTAAGTATATCTCAACTATAATTTCCCACTATCGTTGGTGTTGGAAGTTGAAGAGCTGTACATTGCTAAGGGGGAACCAAAGCATCGGAACCCTCATTAATTTAATTGCTTGGAAGTGCAGCTAAAATTCTTTCTTGGCATTCTGTTTTGAAAGTTTAGGCATTTTACTTTAGATTTTACTCTGCTTGCAGTTTTTTGTGTAGATTTGAAAATTGTATAGCAATGTGTTTTCTGTAGACTTAAGATGCAATGCACTTTGTTCAGAAAAAATCTGGAGATGAAACAATTGTAAAGAAGAGATGTCAAGAATTTGAGATAACTCCTTGAGAAAGATGACTTTACGTCATCAGCACAGGACACTTATGTCAAATATACACTGTTTTTTTCAGAGTAGGAAGTTAGTGACCATTACAGATGGACAATTGTCCTTTTTATTTATAGGAGTTTTTCAGAATGTTGGAATACCTAGGTAGACAAATTGTTATTGGAACATTCACTTTCACCTTGAGAAGGATGTTCATGGTGCCGTTAAGTTCTTACCGCCGCAGTGTCTGGGCATCTGAGAAACTCGGAGACTTTTAAAGTGTCATAATGTGGTCACACCTGCAGTTCTGGGTATCGAATCCAGGGCCTTGCATGTGTTCTGTAAAAGCTCTGTCACTGAACTGTGTCCCCACCCGAGAGCAATGACTTTTGCTAACAGTATTTCTGTTCTGTTGTAAAGTGAATGGATGATACACTTGGTAGTAAAAGGTAAATTATTCAAAATCCACAGTGAAAAACTCACCGTACCTTCCCACTTAAACCGTTTCTGTATCTCGTAGGTTTCTGACATTGCAAACTCGAACCCTTGAAAAAAGTTTTCTTAAAAATTATAAAAAAAACCACAAGTTACAATTTGCACAATATTTTTGTTGTACTTTATACCTTGTTTACAATAAAGACTTTTCTTTGATATACACAGTGGATTTATTGCATTTGTTAAAACCCAGTCTCCACTTCACCTTCATACCATTCATTCAGATCTCATTCAGATTAGAACCTGAGGCCAGGTTTCTTTAAGATGATGTAAGAAGTGTTTGAGTTAACCAGAACACAGTGAATTCACCCACAATGAAACTGCTATGGCCAAACAGAGAAGGCTGACCCGGAGGACTTCTTCAAGGTCTACTCACTCAGAAAAAAGAGCTACCTTAGATATAATGGACAAGCTGGTACTTACCCCAGTCCACCTCCAGAGAGAAACACTTGCTAGTCACTTAGACTTGTAAGCAGGGTGTGATTTTTTGTTTTTTAAAATAAAGTCACTATTTTAGTTGGTCCAAAAGCCTCACTGCTCTTGAGACAAAGGCCACTTTAGCCCCTGATGGAACATCTGGCTCACTTTTTCAGACAGTCTCATAGCCCAGGCTGGAACCTCCAATAACCCAGGGTCTCCTCAAACTTGTGGCAGTTCTTCCTGTGCCTCTGGATTGCTAGGATTAGGTCTGCATCACGATTCCAGTTTCAGATAAGCCTTTACTGTGTTTTGTTGCTTGTTTTTACTGTCCTTGTATGAATCTTGGTATGCTAATTCCTTCATTGAATATTCTTTGGGATTTGATATGGAAGACAAGTTTATCTACTTAGTTACTCATGTCAGTATGGATTTGTGGAAACATGTCATTCCTTAGGTTATGACAGTTTTGTGACTTATCCCAGGGTGGACCTTGTGAATTCCTGAGTTGTGAACCTCTTTGATTGACAAGAACGGGACTTCTATAGGATTCAGCCTGTCCTTTCCTCCCTCTGGAGTAACAGTTATTAGTGACTGCTCTGAGGAACCAGAGAGTCTCCCTGTAACAGACTGGCCTTGGTCCTGCCCCCCACTCTCTCAGCCTATAATTCCTTTTTTGTTTTCTGAGCAGTCTTGTAGCCAGAGCTGGAGCTTTCTCTTCCAGTCCTACCCTGCTACCAGCCTGTCTAACCTGGCGTCTCACAGCCCCTCCCTGGCTTTCTGTCTCTAAGCTTCCTCCTGCTAACTAGTCTTTCCCTTTGGAAAAGGGAAACCAGATGGGGGCACCTCTTTTCAAAACATTGAAAGGCTTCCAGTACACCCAGGGTGATGCTAGACGGTTCTTTCCCCCTTGTGTAACTTGAGACTGGTAGTCAAGGCTGGCCTTGAACTCCTGACTCCTGACCTCCACCCACCACATGCAGAGAGCATTGCGGTGCACCATGGAACTCAGCTTCTTTTGGTTTTAAAAAAAAAAACAGGTAGGTCTTGCTCTATAGCCCTGGCTGGCTTCAAATTTGTTGCAATTTTGCCTCAGCTTTTGCCTGGTGGAACTCCAGGTATGAGCTACTGCCTGCAACGGTACTGTGTAAGAAATATGTGCCACGTATGTAATTTAAGTTTTCCGCCAGGCTTGGGTCCACCTCTGAGTCCAGCATCTGGGAGGGTTACTGCAAATGCAAGGGTCTGGTTTACACATCAAGTTCCAGGTAACAAGGACTACATAATGAGACCCTGTCTTAGATTATTTTCTAGTAGAGTCATCAAGAGGAAGTAAAATGAAAAGAAAACTAATTTTTAACATTAACCCTGTATATCCAAACTATTTCCACACTGAGTCAATATCGTTGCTAATGATCTGTAGTCCATCTCTTCTGAAGTTACCCTTGGAGCCCCTCTTACATGCTTGCAGCACACTCTATTTGGGACCAACCACATTTCAGGTGCTTGGTAGTCACAGGTGGCTGGTAGCTAGGTGCTTGGGCCTCTTTGAGGGTCCCCAATGCCCGGTGCCATTAGGTTTCTGCCAGCCCCTCCCCTCCAGTTCCACTGTATCCTGTACCCTGTGTCCAAGCTCAGCCATATTGCTGCTTCATGTGTGGAGAATGTTTTCCTTGACCTTCTCCCTTGACATTTCCACTATCACCACAATCATTACCCTTTACTGAAATTGCCTAATGCCTCTGTTTTTTTCCTTGACTGTAAAACTCCATGAGGACAAGGAGTCTGCCCTCAGCATCTAGCATAGCATCTTACACGTAGCAGGGCTCAATCGCTTTGAAAACTGAAAGGGAGCCTGTGGAACCGCCCAAGGGAATAGCTAGGTGTTACATAACATGCAGGATACAGACAACAGCCACAGGATGCTGAAGCCTGCCCTTTGAGTCCTTATTGGTTCTGGAAGGACCTCTTCTTACTACATGTTCCAAACTTAAAGAAGACTGATAGAGTGTATTGGTGGAATACTTGTCTAGCCTGAGCCCAGCACCACAGAACAAAAACAGTCGTGGTACATCTATTGTGGGGTTTATTGTTTGTTTTTGTTTTAAACAGGGCAGAGATAGGATTTGATAGGGGTGACACATAGGCCCTTCAGGAGAGTTAAATTCCTTGCCTGGAACTGCTGAAGAACGTCACCTGAATATTCCCTCTAATCTCTCTCATTGCTCTCAGGAAGCACAGAGAAGACTGAGGATGTTCCTGGAGAAGTTAGGGCCCATGCCTTGGAGACCACAGTCTTCCTGAAGATGAGCTGGAAGGCTTCCTTCTGCGGGTGTGATGCTAACGCAGGCTGTGCTGCTAAATCGCTAGTACCTAAATCCAGTCCTGAGGGGGAAGCCCCGGCTGAGACCTTGAGCTGACTCACTAACAGCAGAGCCTCTCCACCATGTAGCAAAGGAAGTGTCAGTGAAAGAGTGTGGGTCAGCTTGAGAGACCTGATGTCCTAGGATTCTCTGGAGAAATCTAACTAATAAAACAAACAACATTTTACACACATCAACACGTACACTCACAGCTCAGAGAGGTTTATTTATTATAAGGAATTGATTATAGGGACTGATAAGCTTACAGCTGGCAAGCTGAAATCCTGGAATCATAACGCAGTTCTAGTACAAATGCCAGCAGGCCCAAGACCCACTTACGGGGCTTGCTTTGTTATTTTTAAGAAAGGGTCTTATGTAGCCCAGGCTGGTCTTGAACTTACAATGTAGTATGACTGTGAACTTCTGATCTTCCTCCTCTACCTCCTTCCCATGTGTTGGGGTTAAGGCTGTGCACTATGTGCTGGGTTGCTCAGTGCAGGAGTGCAGGAGGTAAAATTTACCTGGGATTGGATGCTTCGTGTATAAGCAAGCCCCCCACCAGCTGAGCTGTAGCCTAGTCTCATGTTTTATTGTGTGAGAAGGTTTCACTCTGTAGCTCAGGTTAGCCTGAGACCCAAAATCCTCTAGAATGCTGGGATAGAGAGGTGTATGTTACCACTCCCATCTTCAATGTGAATTCGGAGGCAAGGGAAGAAATGATCTTAGTGCCGATTGAGACCCCACCCACATTAGAGAAGGTAAATCCACTTTGCTCAATTTATCCAGCTATGCCTTTAGAGATCCATCAGGGTATTAGGCCACAGATGGGCATTCTGTGGTCCAACCAACTGATGCACAAAATTCAGCACCATCCACGGTGGATTCCAGTTCTGGTTTACACTGATATGTCTTCACTGCTAGAAAAGGTACTTCATAATTCTGAGTCTTGGTGGCCACCTTTAATAATGGGGTTAAACACACACCTATTCTGTTTCACGCCTAGAACCAGCAGCAAGTTCCAGTGAGAGTTTGTACACAAGAGCCCTTGAATGGCTTAGCACATTTTGTGTTTGTGGTTGCTATTCCAGGGTCAGTGTGTGAGGTCACACAAGTGTCATGAACTCATTAGGATGTCCACCAAGGGTGCCCATCTATTCTGCAAGGAAAATTAACCTAGGATTGGATGCTCACAGAATTCTGGTACTTGGTGTTCTCACAGTCCTACCTTAGATCTAATTACTGGGTGTCCAGTTACAGAAAGCTCACTGTAAGGAGGTCAGTCTCATGGTAAGAGATACATAGAGAAGAAAGCCATAGACATTTGCCATTTGATTAGAAAGCACAAGTTTGGACAGAGACACCCAAGACACAGCCAGTCCATCAACCAAGTTCATGGGTCTATCCAGTCCCTTTTGCCCTGTTCAGAGTGACCCAAGCACCAGTAAATTCTGCAAGTAAGCCCAGCGGACTCAAGACCTCTGCCTAGATGCTCCTCAAAACACTACAAGTGATAGAAAGTTATGCTCTAAACTCTGTTATGATCCCATGGAAATGTGGATCGGTATGAAGGACAAAGGCATTCCCCCCCCCAAAAAAATTATTAAGTCATATCTGCACAGAGTCTACCTCAATACCATGGTTTTGAATGACAGAACTCCAGCGTCATAACCCTCTTGTCTTTGGTCCATTCCAGCCGAAAGAGTTGAGCGGAGCTGGGCTATGTGCTGCTCTAAACCTTGCCTACTCTTTCCTGGGAGCTAGAGACTCGCTGCTTTCCCCAGTGGGCCCCTAGGGCCCCGTGTGCCCCCCCCCCCCCCCCCCCCCCCGCGCTCATCAATACGTAAGACTGTACTGTACTGTACTGTACCTCACTTTGACTTTCTTGAAAGAATTTACTTTTCAATTCTAAGCTTAGCCATGAGCAGAGTCAGAGTTTGTTTTGGGAAAAGCAGTGAGAAATTCCGCAAAGGAAACAGACTAAAGAGAAAATGAGGCAGTTCAGGAGGGAGGTGGAGCAGAAAGATCAGACCAAGATCCTGTCTCAGAAACAAAGCAAGTCAGTCAAACAGAACAGAAATATTGCGGCGAGAACGAGCCATGGCCCGAGAAGTCATTCTTATTTATCTGATTAGATTATCAGAACCTTGAGTATCAATTTCAAGAAGACAACTGATAGTTTTCACAGTCTTGCTAAAAGATAACCAAGAGCACTTGAGTTTATTGCCAATAAACAAAGAAAACCAGGACGACCTTGTGAAAGAAGCCCTCTGGGGTCATTCCCCAGGATGATGACATCAGTCCTCTGCTGCCATAATCACAAATCCAAGCAACCAACTTAACCATGTCATGGCTTTGTCTCTCAGTCTCTATGTTTCATCCT